TATTTGATCACCTTGAACTCTACCCTTAATTCACTAGACAAAATAGCATTTGTTCACATTTCATTTTGTAAAAAGAACACTGTTAACATATCGCACTCTGGAAAAAAGTGTAATGCTGACTACGCAGGCTTTATCAGGACCACTAGCACTGGCAGAGTAAATAAAAACACACATACCACCTCGAATTTCTATGGTCATCATGATTTAAGGCCCACACTGCTTATGAAAGCCTCTTTTGCTAAATTAAGTCACATATGAATTTCATCAAAGTCAGACTTCATAGAGGAAAGGTCATCTCTAGCTTGCAGGCTTTATTCAGCATTCAGAAACCCACCAATTATGCATGTGATGTTTGGTTCTTCAGTGTCTTCATGAGTTTGTACACTGTGCAGCCTGCACTGAACTTTCCCAGTGGACTGTATTCAGCATCTTCAACTGCTGAAAGTGTAATTGGAAATTATGTGAGGATCCAACCCTTTTCCATTCAACAATAGTTTCATAAGCTACAGCAACAGGGGACAGGTAATATTGCCAGCATTGACAACAGGCACTTGCCTCCCACAGACAATAATAATACTGGAAAGGAAGAAAGATTCATGCAATACAGGAATAAAAAGTGGTATGCATGCTATTAATACTGTTCACGGTAATATTTTCATGCTGTTCTCTGCCCTGTTGATAAAGATTTTTTCAAAGAATAAGCTGTTTCTGTTTGTGATCTCCCCAGCATTGGGATTCCCAGTCTGAAAGTCAGCAGTTACTTCAAATATAGTTCTGATGCTATTAACTGATATGTATAACAGCATATATTACATATATATTTATCATCTTTATGCTTGCTAGCACCAAGTGATTAACCAAGGAACTGTTTTGGGATGGCAATGTGAAGTAGCCACAGCTACCTCCTTGCAGATGTGAGTACCAAAAGATTGGGTCACCCTCATGGCAGACTTCTACTTTGTGCTACTATTAAGTCAGGAAGCCAGTGCAGCTATGACAGGTCAGTACAGCTGGATCTTATCTCATTCTTTTGTCCTACCTCTTCTGCCCCTGAACACCACCGTCAACTGATGTTGGGCCCCAAGCATTTTCTTCTCTCCATTCAATAAATGTTTTATTTAGCAGCCCTACTGTGACCTACATATTAAGGCAACAGTCATGAAGAGTTAATCAAATAGATCAGTTTTGTTCCCCTTCCCTATAAATGTGTTACATACTGTGAAAGTCATACCTGACAACATCCTTCAGCAATTTCCAATCTACTGAACTTCATGATATCCTACACAAGCAGTATTACCCACTGTGAGGGTTAAATATGAACAGGTGCGTTGCTCTACAGAACACCATAATCTGAACCATTGACGGCCTTTGCTCTTAGGGGCATTGGGAGGCCGAGATGTGCCCTTCGCAGATCAGCCAACCTTAAGTTCCAAAAAACAGGAATTGGCATATGTTACAAAACATGAATAAAGACATGAGAAGACCAAGACACAAAGTAAACAGATAACTACCAACTCTAGACACACCACGCAGGAGGGATTGTGGCAAAAAGCTGACTATGGTCATGAAGCTTATTAGCTCTTTGGGCTAATTACCTGCATCATGAAAAAACAAAGTTCTAAAATCTGATCAGCTACTCCTTTTCCAGCCAGTAACCTGTTGTCCAACAATCCTGGCTGCTGGCTTGACTTGCCATCAATTCACCACTTAAACTTCCTCCAAAACAGTTTTTTTTATGTTTTTTTTTTTTTGTAAGTTCAAATTTTTCTTTAATTACAAAAGGAAAAAAAAAAACAAAAACAAAAAAACAACCCCCAAAACAAAATAAATGAAAACAAAACAACAGAATTACATCATGTTCTGTGGAACACTGTTGCTCTACTGTCCAGTGTCAAACAGTCAAGAAATTGGAGTCATATTCTCACTTAAATGCATGTACTCCTGTCTCAGCTAAAGTTTCACCTTATAGTGGGCTTCCTTGTTACTACCTTGTTATTACTTCTCAGGAATAGCAAGACAAATCAATCGTCTTCACTGAAAATTCTGTACCATCATTTATTCCTTCCAGACTATTCCCCAGAAATGTTTTCATTCACAACCACACTTCACAATCACATCCTGAAGGACTGAGTAGGAATGAGTGGCAGAATTGAGCAGTATTAACATAACAGGTAATAACCCTTAAATACGTCAACTTTTTATTTTGCATAAATACCAACCATCTGCTTTTACTTCAGTCACTGCAATGTCAGAAGAAATATTCCAAGGTGCATCAGAAACAGATCTGCCTACAGGCCCTACCTACTGTCATGTTAAGCAGCAGCAGCCAGACCTGACTCAGCCAATTTTGCAAGGGGAAGCATCAGCACAGTATGGGCTCACCTGCACCTTCCCAAAGCCAGCTGGTACATTCCTGCACACTACCAGCAAGTAATACCTTTTGAATGCTTTATAATATTGATATTGAAAAGAGTACCATGCTTATACCATGTACCCTGAAGTTACTGCTTCTTTTGGAGAGAGGGTGACTGTGACTTCAGGGAACTGAGAGCAGAGGTTTCTCTGCCTTACGTCTCTCCCATCCTCTCAGTGGTCTCCATCTGTTGGGAGCCTGGTTTCTGTTCTTCATGGGAACTTTGTTCCCATGGGAAACTGTACTGCAAGGACATCCTGGGATCTTTCGTCTCAAACCCTTGGAAGAATTATATCCATACTTCAGTACAACCCTGTCAATCAAGTAAGGGACAGATACTCTTGAGTCACTCAAGAGAGCACCCAGTGCGCTCTTGGGACACACAAGCTCAGTGAGAGAAAATTCCTGAGAATTTTCTCACATTCTCCCATCTTCTCCTTCGTCCCAGTTACTCCTACTCCTCCAAAACACAGCAAGATTCCTAGGTTAACAGATAAAAGAAAGGAGAATTACAAGCTGCATCTCTCCCTGAACATCCATCAGTGCTCCTGACTTCATCACGTTCCTACACATTTTCGAGCTGTTTAATACTGCAGTGAGACTGCAGTGTTGCTGTTCTGCCCCACAGAACTGTACTGAGCAGCACTGACCTACAGGGACAAAGACAGAGAGTCATTGAGTCTGCTTGTTAAGAACACCAACCAAAGTCATTCCAGATTTGGAAATCAGTCCCCAGCCCCAGTGTAAGGTACGGGTTGCTCCGTTTGGCAGTGTGGGTATGATGGGCTGGCCTGAGCTGCCACCTCCCCCGAGGCAGCGGAAGCTGAGCCCAGGCAGGGCAGCCACCGGCTCCCTCCCCTTCTCTCCTCCCTCTGCACTCCAGTTTCCGCGGGTCTGTGGATGGGGCAGGGCTTGCGTGGCTTTACTCCACGCCTCCAGAGAACAGCATGTACCTTGCTTAGTCAGCCTCCAAGGATCTCTCCACGAGCCACCTCCAACTTCAGGTAGTGTCTGTAAATGTCAGGGTTTCCAGATAACTCCCAATTCATGATTAGCAGAACAGGCATTCTCACCTGTCACGTCAACATTATAACTAAAGGCACCAGCAATGACAGGGAGACAGGGAGGTATGTTAAACAGAATACCTGTGGTCAGATCAGTATGCACATACAGTCTATGAGGATTTTTTTGTTTGAAATTATTTCTTTTTTCCTGAAAGCATCAATGGAAGCAGTCATTAAAATAAATAACTAAAAGTCAGAAGAATTAATCAGAAAGATATTGATTTATTTGTACAGTTATACGTAGTTATTAAGGTATGTATGTTTTAGCTCACTATCTTGGAGACACCCTACAGAGTGTAACACTTTAGCAATATATAGTACACTGACATGGTATTACTTTATTATAATATAGAGAGTCACTACTAAATGCATTTATTTCAGCAAAAGTCTTCCTCAGCGGTTTCTGAGAACAACTGGGACTACTCTTTAGCTTGAGTAGTGTAGTTATTTTCTTATACTACAAAATGGTGTTTAGTAAGGGATAAATGAAAAAAACTGGTGAGTGTTTTAATGGTAGTACTGACAGGGCTTTAGTTCAGAACCAGGACTATTTGAAACATGAACTTTTTAATAGGCAAATGTTCAACTAACTTGATGTATTCCCTCACAAAGGAGCGTAGTTAGTTACTAGTCTATCCCACAGTAACACATCAGCCATTCATTTCTAAGCAAAGGCGATAGTTTAAAATACCTCATTTTATACCAGTTAAATATAGCCCTAAACAGTTAGTCTTTTATGTGTTTATTAAAATGATGGTGGTTTTATTGAAAACAGAGGAAAAAAATGTGGGAGACATGAAAAGAGAAGAGGGAATTTATTTTGAATACCTAATAGAAATCTGTCATGTTGGTGCTTTTTAAGCTATATAAAGCACAAAGTTCTCACAAGAAAAAATAATCAAAAGACAAAACATTGTTGATTGCTAATTGAAATATCTGCAAGAAAATCATACACACAGATTACTAATACAGACTCCTGCTCCTCTGACATCTGAGAGGAGGGGAAACGCATGAAGTATAGCACAGCACGGTCTCATACATGATACTATGAAGTGTCCTCCCAGGACACTTATCTCAGTCAATCAGTCTATTTATGCAGCAAAACTACATGTAAGTATCCCAAAATAGCTCACACAAACTATAGCTTCATTTTACCCTGCAGCCTCCAGAACTGGAAGCTTTATATTACAACTTTGTTCCTGAAATATACTGAAGATTAAGGTACCTGTAAGTGCAAGGACTGAACCTGACTGCTCAATAGAAAAAATGTTTAACGGGTTAAAAAACATATGTAGTGAGTTCTCTTTTAAAGAATGCTATGCACAGTACTGCACAAGAAAAAGCTATTTTTTTTCTTATTTTTCCTTCCTTTCCTTTCCTGAGTTGTGAAACTCAGCAGCTGAAAATCTGTAATAGCCATGCAAAATCTATCAAGTCAGAATTAAACCCTGTGACTTTCTTGGGACATGCCTGTGTGTCATAATAGGAGGGGGAGTTTGAAAGAAACAAACCAAACACATTACCACATTGTGTCGGCAGTCCTTAAGGAGCTGGTAGATCGGGATCTTGGCTTCATTACAATGCTCATTTTGAAAAATTCCTTCAGTAGTTCTAGAAGTCAAACATCAGTTGTCCTTACAAAGCTCTTTCTCAAAGTACTCCATTTTGAACTATTTTTTTTTAAATCCTCTGCTTTTTAAACCTCTTGAAGTCCGTCTCCTGTAATAATCCAGGCTGTGCAGGAAGAATTCCAGCACACTGCAACTCTTCCTTTTTCACGCTGACTTTACTCTAGCTCTGTGCTGTTCGGAAATGACAGTGCTTTTCTCCTCTGTCTTGTATTGCCCTGGGAGGAACTAGTCTATTTTGAATCTATTCTCCCTGTAGGTCACATGGGAGTGAAGGCAGCTGAAAAGAGTCTCTATCTCTTTCTTGCAGTGTGATAACAACAGGTTTAAAGGTCAAGCTCCCTCTTCATCCCCCCCCTTTTTTTTTTTAAAAAAAAAAAAAAGAACAATGCTGATGGATAATAAATGAAAGGAAAAGATGAATGTAAGTTACAGTAACAGTGAGTTTGCAGGGAATTTCCACTTACAGACATGTTAGATAAATTAGTCTCTGTGGAGTAAAGAAAGGATCTTTCATTCCAAGTTAATTAAAAGCCTTACCTAGAAATGTAATTCTTTTTTTTTTTTTTTTTTTCTTTTTTTAGCTCCTAATCCCTGGCTAAATACTGTGAATAGGTACTATTATCTAACTTCACAAAACAGAAAGTATTCTCTGTCTGAAAGACATTCAAAATACTGTGGGGAAGGTAAGTAAAAATAAAATTCCTTGTTGACTGTTGAAGTCAAACACACATACAGACAGCTATTGTTATAAATCACTGAAGGAAAAATACCTCAGCTAAAGAACTCTAACATGACATCCTCTATACTTCAGAAAGAGATCTTTTCCTATTACAATAAATACATTAATAGTTTATGCATTAGAAGCAAACTTACATTTATAATTCCTAGTAAAAAAACTTACCATAAAAGCTTTGAGAGTTTATTCCTTTTAGGAAATATTAGTGTAAGCATATTTGACAACTACAGCAGTAGAAGAGATCAAAAATGAAGAGAAGTGGATAGTGACTATACCATTTAAATTATACATTTTGAATTTTCTATGAACTGTGTTAGAATTGTTTTCAAAATTAAAGAGCAAAGTTATTGCTCAACAAGTGGTTACATGCATAATAGCCATTCCTTTGTACAGTCTTTACAAGTGTAGTAGTATATTTCTTTTGATGGTAGTGCAACTAGGTTAATAATGAAAGCAAGCACAAAAATTGTGTTTATAAAATTTATATAGACTTGACAAATAGAAGGAAAACATGATAAACAAGCTATGCATTAAAATATCAAAAAATTCAGCAAATAGGAATGAGCATACAATGTGTAAAGCTCTCTAGAACCTTTGCACTGTATTTTATAACTGTACAATAAAATGCATTACCAACTACATTGCCTATCAACAGGAAATATCCTAACTACCCTGGAGGCTTGTGCCTGCCATCTGCATATAAAGTGCTCCTCTGGAATGTTAATAAGGCTTCTTGCTAAGTATTGTGTTCTTTGTGTTTCCTGGCACCTATCTTCAAATATCACCTAGTTGTTAATGCAGGACCTTTTGTAAGAGTCCTGTGGAATCATAGAAGTTAACCTCCAAGAGTGGAAAAAGCATCTGTGGTAAATTTAGCTCAAAGCATTATACAGTCATGGGACCTTTAGTAACAGTTGGATCTGTCACTGCGCAGGTCACACGTTTGTAGAAGTAAACATAAATCAGGCACCATGCTGTGAAACTTTTTTATTCCTTAAACAGATGGAATAGGTCACATAACCCAAAAATCATATGAAATAGAGGTGCTGGTCTGTTACAGAATTGCTGACCATTTTAAAGCTTTTTTCTTTAAGTTTGCTGGATTACTTATTATGGATAAATATGAATATTATTCCCATATCAATGAAGGAACACAAAATGAAAGAAAATAAAGCTTGTGACTAAGTGCTTTCACAATAACATAGTGGAATGGAATGTTCAGGGACTACTGCTGTGCCACACAGTAAATATCTCAGGATTGAGACATTTACTGTATGGCATAGTAAATATCTCAATCCTGAGAACAGTTTGTTCTTAAAAACATCAGTCCAGATGCTGCCTCTTACTTGTAGTTAATAGAAATATAACTAGAAATATATGGTAGTACATATAATAAATATTAATATACAATATAAATACATTGTATTACAGGTTCTTATGTAATTAAGGTGACATCTTTCAAGGCAGATTCAGAAAAAAGTCTGATGGAGATGCAGATCACGAACAGGGATAAATACTAACACCTACTGCTAAAAATATTTTCTTTTTTGGTGTCCTTTATCAGCTTGTTAGAAATAAAACCCTGCCTTCCAAGTGCCTGCCAACTTCAGACCAGGTGCTATTATGAAATATGTATTAGTTAGCAACAAGATGACTACAGAATTGTAGCCATATTCCAAGCAGTCAAATCAGAGCCAATCCTCAGACAGAAACCTTAGAAACACAGACTTCCTCCAAATAGGAGGGAGAGAGAGCTCACAGTCTTCCAGGGAATATTAGTTTTATGTGAAATTCAAAATTTTACTTTGGTGAAGCTAAAAAAAGAAAGGACAGTTTGAGAAAATGAGGCATAAAAAGGAGCAACAATAAGCAATCAAAACACCCCTTAATTTTTCACCTGGATTTGTATCTTGCAAGCCACGTGGAAAGCAAAAACCATTTGTCAGTGATTTCTCAGCTCTACTAGTGGGAAAATTTTTTGCAGGGCACCCAGGGATTTGATGGTCAGTATGGGAAAGACAAACCTATTCTAGAAAAGTTTCTGGGGAAAGTATTAGATGAACTTTGGCACTTAGCAGTAGCTTCTAATTCTTACAAAAACCTGCTGTACTACTATTAGTATCAACGTCAGTTTTATCTAAGATTTAAGTAAAGATAAGAGCATACCAGTCCACTGTGCTCACAGAAGATGACGCAGTATTTATTTTAGGCCCCAGGTCTTGGTATAGAGTCAAATAATGTAAACTCTTAATTTCTCATAACTTGAAGAATTAGCGAGAAATTAAGAGAAATAAAGAGAATAAAGAGAGAAGTGGTCATTCCACTCTGATAGCAGTGGAAAATTATGATATCAATTAATTGTTTAAATAGCCATTAAGAAGCCATCAGCAAGAGAAGTAAATGAAACTTCTCAAAGACAGAATAAATCACAGTATCAGATCCAACTTCATTATAAGAGGTAATTTACGTATCAGAAGATGGAAATGTATCTCTGTTAATTGGAAACATTCTTTTTTCCCAGAAAAATATTTTATGAGTAATAGCTACTGCATTTAAATCCAAAATGCCAAGATGCTAATTATGTACAGATATATATAAAGTACTATAAAAAAAGATAATATAAGCATATTCATTATTGTACACTACCTGTAAAAAGATGCGCATGGCTCTATAGATGCACATATAATATAGATAGTACATGAATACAAACATTTATTTGAGACACGCAGCAGACATCTGTGGCATCTGATTTTCACGTCATTCTGTAACTTCAAAAAAAATGGTATTTCTTTTCCTTTTTGGAATCTTTTTTTTAGGGTTGTAGGAATAAAGACTCTCAAATAGAGCTCTTGCTGGTATGCCATCACAGTTAAGACAAGTGTTGACTGCATAATGAAAACAAGGAAGAAAAGATTTTAAATTAATGAAAATACTAAAAGATTAAGCCATTCAGTACTGCTAAGTAGTAATAAAAAGCAGCAAGACACACAACAGTATTTTTTATCTGTATATGTGCATCAACTGAGGTTTTGGCTGTATAATTAAGCTGTCTAAAGAAGAAAAGATACAGAAGTAATTAAAACACAAATAATGAAATACGTGCAGGATTCAACCCACATTGAGGATCTTAGTTACCTTCAAATTAGTAAGTAATTGAATTAAACAACTGTTACATTGCACAAAATTGAAAATTAAAATTAATTGGTAAAAGCATGGCTTAGGGAATGAGGGCAGAACTGCCTGTTCTGTTCCATGCTTGGGAACATCTTTGTCTTGAGAGTATGGAATATATGCTTAAGCATTCTGAGTTTTGGCTTCCTTGTTTGTAAAACAGGGATAATACCAATCATGCTGCTTGAAAAGCCCCTGGACATCAAAGGGCAATGGATGCCAGGTTATTATTGCTGTTGCTGTATGCAAGCTGAAGAAATAGATTCACAATCTTCCTTTTTAAGACAAAGTGAAAAGTCCCTGTAGTCTGATAAGACTAGAGTTTAACACTGAAAGTTAAACCTGCAACAGCTGCTACCACTTTTGTTTACTGGGGTGAAAAATTCAGGAATTTCTAGCAAATGTGTATTGCATTAGGACTTGTAGGGACACTGGCAATGTATCAAGAGAAACAGAATTCTGGAAGCCTAACATCAAGCCTTAACATGTAAAGAATGACTGGGCTTTTAAGTATGTTGCTTGGAATGCACACTAGCAAAGGAAAGGTATACAAGAGGCTGCTGCTTCGTCATATGCAGTCTTAGTTTCATCATTAATTTATTTCAGATCAGATTATTAAAGTATCTCTAGAAACCTGGAGCTGGGCTCATTCACTCAGGATTATCCCTGGCATTGCTTAGCTACTATTGCATCTGGTCTTGTGCACAGACTGTATTTTTATTTTCTTCATATATGCTTGCTAGTTCACATATTTATATGAAATACAGTTTTCCATATGCAAAGAATATCCACCGAGATCCAAATCCAACCTTTCTAATCTCCACAACATACTCCACAACAGGAAACATTTTCCCACAGCTAAACAACATACCAGTTACTTTTGCTAAACTGTGAGTTGCTCAGTTCATCCTAGTTCATCCACAGCACTAGTTTATCCTCTTACATCCTGTACTGCAGAACAAGACTGAAGGACAGAAAAGATTAACAAGATGTTCTTACATCACCTGCATGGGTGGGTTTAAGAACTAGTTAATGGAGGTGTAGATTCAGGAGAGACATCTTTCAGTAACAAGGATTATGCCAGAGAATTAGAGAAGGAAATTTTTGACCCACCAGAAGATTTTGCCACTGTGCACTATAGGAAATAATTTAAAAAATATTCTTTTGTAGGGTGTTAGGGGCATGCCTGGAAGTTAAAGTCTGATGTTTATTTCTAGGTAACAGCATATTCCCTTTTGCCTGGAGTGACTTTATCAAGGAGGAAAAAGGTATACATAACTG